AAGGGTATCATGCTTGGTAGAGGGTCAGCAAAAAAGAGTAAGACCTTCATGAAGATGAACTGTTACAGTGGCTCCAACAATAGGCTCAAGCATAGCAACAATTCTGAGGATAGGGCAGGACTGAGCAGTGTTTCATTCTGTTGTGCACCGGGTTACTATGGTTACTCGATAGCACTTAACAACAGCTTTACACCTCTGATGAAGGGTTGGTTAAACTGCTTCATTTTGTTGTTGTGTTTGCACCATTTTTGGCTGAATCTTTGGTCAGAATGGATATGGTCTAAATCAGTGGTTTCCAAGACATAATAGGTCACAAGAGTGCTTTAAAATGATTTTTAAAAAAATCTTTGAGGTGCTCATGTAACCTCTGACATTTCTAAAGGTTGAATGTTCTATCTCACAAGGCAATCCAGGCCATGTTAAAATAATTACTATAAAGTTCAACATGCTAAGCTAAATGTCACCTCCCTACCCTTTTGATCTTCAGGGTTTCACAGAATAGTCATTTGTATAAGTGACAGTACTTAGAATATTTACAATCAGTTGGAGTCTCCTAGGGGTTATATACTTGACCTAGGTCCTAAGGTAAAACTGAAAATAAAATTTACTCGTGGAAATCTCTTAAATTGTTTATAAGCTAAAACTCAATTAAGGCAATTTTACTTCCAGGATTGGAATAGATTGATGTTCTTTTGTTTGAACTGCAGATAGAAGTGGTTGGTTGGGATTTACGAGTCATGTTGGATAAAAAATACCTTTACTCACTTGGCATGAATGTAGCTGTTGAATTTATCCATGCTAAGTGCATGATGAAATGCTACTAAATATTTCTCTAGCATTTTCCATTTTTAAAAAACACTTACTGAGGACTTCAATGTTCCAGGCATTGTGCCAAGGGGCATTTGTCACACATTCCTCATCAATACATCAAATTGGCAATGATCAACAGAATGGGGAAACCACTTCCTAGTTGAACTGACATTTAAAGACAGGGTTAAGGGGAAAATAGTATAACATAAAATTTGTTTTTTCAGGGGGAAAAAAGCAAATAGGGATGTAAACAACTCTACTGCTATATCTAGAGAAACAAGTTCACATATAGGGTCATCTTCTAGCCCTCTAATATCAAGTATTTTCTAAAAATGTATGACTCATTACAGAAGGAACATTGGTTTGCAGCAAATCTCAGAACATTTACTTTTGGAATTAACCTCACAAGGAATCCCAAATAATCTCATTTAACAAAGTAAAATAAAGAAAATTTTCACTGGAAAATTTTCAAAGATTTTGGAAGTGAACTATTCAATGAATCATTTGAAGGTACATATTTCTAGGGGAAAAAGTCATTCTAGAAATGAACTACACTTACCTAAACTTTTAATTAGTTATACTAAAACATGTGTGAGTTGCCATTAAATCACCAAAATCCAGCAATAATCATAATGTGCTCTCCCTAAGAGAGTGCAATGGTGGAGAGCTACATCAAGGATTAAAAAGGTAAATTTTGTTTAAACATAGATCAAAGGGAGTCTTGATTAGGAAATGAATTCATTGATGTCAAATGCTAGATGGATGCTGAAGAAAACGGAAAACACCGTATTTAGACAGGTAACACTGTATTAGACGGAAAACACTGATCCTAGACAGGTATTCCCACACCTGTCTAAGATCAGGTCTGGGTAGGGTTTATGGCAGATGGTATGTGCATGAGTCACAGGGTTGTGTTTTATTTAAGTGAGTGATGGAGGACCTATCTTCTCCCCAAACTGATTCCTCCATCACTGAGGCCAAGCTATAGCTGTTTTGCAAAAACTCAGTAATTTGTAATACAGAAAACATAACATGGAAAAGCACCAAAGCATATGATCACATTAATAGCCATTTACTTCTGACCTTGATCAGTCATCAATCTTCTGCTTCATTTCCTCATCTGTAAGTTAGGGATAAATGGCTAGTAACCCTAAAGGATAGTGAAAGGATCAAGTAAGTCAAAACTCTCAAAAGCATTTTGTGAAATGTAAAACACTATACAAAAAAATGAGAAGTATAAAGGATTACAGACAGAGAAAAATTCTAGTGAGCTTCTTTATTTTGACAAAACTATAAACAAATTTTGGGACAAATTTTATATTCTCAAACTCTCTAAGTTTCACTTATTTAAAAAATAAGACAAGACATCCTGGACTCTCAGTTTTCAGGCATAACATTAAAATAGTACCAAATTTTCAAGTTATATAAGCTAGCTGGATTTTATATACCATAAAATTGAACAAAGTTGTGACAAACATTTACGAGTTTCAAGTGCACCTGTAAGAAACACATGGACATATGTACTTGAGTTTTTTAACCACAGTTTTATATCAATAAACATCTAAGTTTCTGTTGAATACATTTCTGTTAATGGTAGGCACAACTCTATAAATATCAAATTACACAAATCATTTGCTTTTTATAGTTTGAAATTGAAAAAATAAGAGCAATGTAGAGTTAAGAGGTTGAAAATGCTACACTTCACTGTACACAACCACAACACAACAATGAAGGTTAGAAGTAGCTTCCATTAGGAATGATTTTTTTAAAAAACTTAAGATATGTTTTAATGGAAAAATTAAAGCCATTCATGTGAAAAGCAAGTAAATGAAGTATTGACTCAATCGGTAAAGATCTAGGAAATTATAGATTTTGTGCAATTAGTTACTAACATACACATTTAAGAGATTAATACTGACTGGTCAATAAAACATTAATATGGTTCTGAAGCTTCTACTCTGTATAGTTTACCATAGTTTACCTTAGTTCTTGTTGTCAAGGCAATTTAAGATTCTTCACTAGGAAGTTATAGCTTATTCTGCACTAGCTATATGTAATATGTATATAATTTCAGAACAAATGACTACATTTCACCTTCAAGGAACTCATTCTTTATATAAAATAGACTTTGTTTTCACCCACATATGTGGATAAAAGTGCTTCTCAAATGTATATGCCCCATTTCTATAATCCTAAAACAAAAGTAAAGGCACATAAATGAATAATAGTTTATATATTTTATGTGATTTTTTTTCATTCATCTTTAAATAAATTCAACTGCCACCTAGAGAAAGACATGACAAACTTGTCACAAAGTTCTGACTTGGGAAATTAAAAATCTAGAACTCTAAATGCTGCAGCTCTGTGCATTCGTACCTTAGTTCATTCACTCTGCAGGCTATTATCTTATGTACTTTATCTCTGTAAGCTATAGGTAACTATGTTTCAGCAACCATGAGACCAAAAAAGCTCAGGGATAAGGACTTGTTCAAATTAGTCCTCCACAAAAGCTGTTTATAGTCTCATTACAAACAGATTTAATATGTTTGTGAGTTAAATATTAAAGCAATTATAAAGCCATTTATTTACCCTATTTGAATGAAATGTAATTAAGAGTCACACTTAAAGAAATCTTTAATTAATAATGAGCAGTACTTTTCTATATACAAAGGGATTCAATAGTCAGCAGCATGTTTAGTACAGAAATAGTTTCATCTCTTCCTCTTCCCTGTTTATAAAGTGCTATCTTTAACTGAGTGGATTTATTACCCAGCTTTTCAGTAACTTTATCCTATGTCTCTAATAGATTCAAGGAAATGTTGGAAAATTTAAAGGATTTATAATTTTAAACATTTGCAAAAATTTCTACAAAGTATAAGACTATAAATGCATTTTACTAGTAAAACAAATAGGAGCTCTGGTAGCATAGTGGCAAAAGCACTTGACTGCTAACCAGAAGGCTGGTGGTTCAAACCCACCAGACACTCCTCGGAAGGAAGGTTGGGCAATCCTACTTCCGTAGTGATACTGCCTGGGAAACCCAAGGAGGGGTCACTATGAGTCGGGGCCAACTCGACGGCACATAACAACAACAACAGTAAAACAAAAAGTGTACTTTAAGTGAAAATCATTGTTGATTTAAAAATTACTTCACAGAAGCATAGGCTTACTAACATTTATGCCAATTTTGCTAACCATCTAAACCAGAAATGGTTTCTTTAGGCAATTCCACTTTAAGAACCATCAAATAGGGTCATGACAAAAGAACCAATGGTTATATGGCCCTCAGAATAAAACCCTGGCAAATTCATACTTTTAGAACAGTAAAATAAGTACTATGGAACAGAGTAAGAGGCAACATTTTGTTTAAATATACTGCAGGATATCGAGTGTTCTTTTCTTTTAATGATAAAATTGTATAGTTATTAATAATGTAACTTCATACCAAGTGTAGTGGTGTTAGAGGCAGTTAAATGAAACCAGCCTGAAGATTAACTTTAAAGTGAATGTTGGCTTTCGTTCAGATCAGTGACTAAAACTGAAACTGCTGTTTTAAAAAAGTTTTACTACTACTTATAATACAAATAGGATACAAACAAGATTTTCACTTCTATTCACATTATTCTTCTAGTACTTTTGCATTTCAACTCTGACCTGACCTTCAGTAGTACCTTAAATAAGTACATGCAATTAGTAAATGAACATGACAGCATGTAGTTTTGTTCACACTTACAAATATTACCAGATTTGTTACAATTTTCATTTTCTGTTGCTTTTGGAAAAGTAACCAACTTTTAAAACTGATACATTAAAAAAGAAAAAGCACACACACACAAACCTCCTTACTTTGCACTGCATCAGGCAATGGTTAAAACAAAGAATATTAACCCTCTCCCAATTTAGACACGTTTCTAGTCCTTAGAAACAGGGACTTAAGGGCAGAAAGCAAGAGTGGGGAACAGAGGAACAGGTCCAAGAAAAAAAAAAAGAAAGAAATCTACTTCCTCTACAAGGCTAGCCTGAAGATCTGCACAGGTACCTGTTACTAATTCCTTCTCACCTGCTCCAAACCTGCAACTACAGGATACAGAATTTAGCTTCAGTCTTTTCTGGTCTAACTTCCTTGCCCAGGCCTAGTATGCTATTCCTGGAGACAAACTAACCTTATAATTTTTTAAAAGAAATTATTTTTACCCAAATACGTTGGATTTCGGTCTCAGTTTGAATGAGGAGGATGAGTGGCTTTTAAGAGACCGTTCTTCATCCTCTTCCTCCTCTAGTGGTTGTTCCAGGTCTCTGAAAGAGGGTGTGGTGTGAATGATCTGAGTCCGAAAACGGATTTTGTTGAGTCTGGGTTTTAACCGCCCACTAGAACTGCCTGAGGCTTTGCGACCTGAATCCTTGGCTTTGCCTCCAGACCATGCGTCAGCCAAGTGATGGTGATGGTGGTGATGATCCCCTCCATCTTCTAGGACGTGTGAGAGTTTGTAGGTGATGAGATGAGAGGGGAGCACCTTTGGAAGCTTCCAGCGCCCACCACTACTGCCGGCAGCGCTCTCTGCGTCACTCTCGTCCAAGGCTCCTACCAGGTTCTTGATCTCCTCGGTGATGCTCTGATTCAGATACTGAGAAGCCTTTTTTCCACTGTAGTCCCTGATGTCCACATCTGCGTCGTAGGCACCCACCAGCAGCTTCACCACCTCCACGTGCCCGTGCATAGCAGCCAAATGCAAGGCGGTATAACCTCCACTGGTCCTGGCGTTGATGTTTACCGGTAGCTGGTGTTTGTTGGCGAAGTTGACTAGCATGGCCAGGAGCTCCTGCCTGCCGTGCTTGGCGGCCCAGTGGAGGCAGGTGAAGCCAGTGATGAAGTCCCGTTTGGCCAGTAGGCCTGGCTCGCTGGTCAACAACCCTTCTAGGCTGTCCCACTTGCCGTCCGAGGCCGAGAGCATCCAGGCGTGCTCCAGAGGGTCCAGCGTCACCGAGCCCCCGCCGCTGCTCTCCTCCTCCGCCGACGACGAAGCCAGCGAGGCGCTGTCCGAATCCCCTCCACCTTTGCTGCGTCCGCCCCCGGAGGAGCTCCCTGGGCTGCTGCCCCCAGGAAAGAAGCTCCTTTTCAGTTGCGGGGAGTTGCCCATCACCAGCTCTCGGAAGTTCTTGCGGGTAGACCTCGGGGTGGTGGCGCCCCCGGGGGAGGTACCCCCATCCGCCTCCTCCCAGCCGTGGGGCGGGGGTTCCAGCTCCTCGCTAGGCCCTGGGGGCGGCCCCCGGGGCAGGGGCAGCACGTTGCGACGCGAGTTCTTCCTACGGACCCCGATGCTCTGGGGCGGCATCTGCCCGGACCTGGAAGGCTCACTCCGGCTGTCCCCGGCCAGGCTCTGAGGCCGGTGCGAAGACTCCCGGCCCTCGTCCGGGGAGTGCTCAGCGGGCTCCGCTACTGCCGCGGGGAGTGGGTCACTCTCCCCTAGCTGGGCCAAGTCCTCGGGGGTCCCCGGAACGTCATCGCAGGGCTCCGGCTCCGCGGTCACAGAGATACGGGGCAGATCCCGAGGGGGTGCGGGAAGGGCTGTTATGCTGTCGTCGGGGGGCTGCTCCGGCCTGGCCTGGGGCTCCTCGTCGCCGCTGGCGTCTTCGGGGGTGGGAGCGCGCTCCGGGGCGGTGGCGGGGGCCGGGGCCGCCTCGGGTGGCGGGAATCCCGCGCTGAACTTCTTCTTAAGGTGCACGTACTTGGTGCCGTCGGCGGGGTCGGTTCGGACAGTAGCCACGGCGTTGACCAGCTGCTTGAAGTGCTCGCGGGCGCGGGCCCGCTGCTCCGGCTCACCGCCCAGGGCGCCCCTGAAGTGCTCCACCAGCTCGGTGTTGCGGACTCGGCCCCCGTTCTGGGCAAAGAAGCGCAACACCGCCTCCTGGCTTAGCTCCGCCATCCCCTCCATCCTGGGTTTTACTTCTCCGGCCGGCTGGCGGATCATCCTGGCCCCATCGCAGGCACTGAGCACGGGCCAGAGCACCCTCGACTGTGTGTAGACAGAGGGGCGGTGGTGCCGCAGGGGAAATGGTTCGCTGATGCCTGGCGGCAGACAGCTTTCCCCAGAATCGTTCCCTGCCCTTCTTACACTCGCTCCAGCGTCTGCGGCAGGAGGATGCCGCCACCACCTCACGAGGGCAGCCGCTGCGGACACGCCCCCCGCCCCACAGCCCGCGTCGCTCAGGCCCCGCCCCCTGACCCACCCCACTTCCGGTCTCCGGGGCTGGTCCGTAATCACTGCTGCCTCGAGGCAGAGGCGGGTGGTTGGAAAAGCTGGGTTTTCTTTTCTCGTGTCTTATTCTTTACAGCCCTCATTTCCTCCACGCACCTTCCCCAGATGTTTTTAATTCTTTAAAACATAGAAATCCCATGTCCACTTCTTGAGGAGCTTACTCAACATGCGCGCTGAATGACTTAGCGTGGTTTATAGCTCGCGACCTTGACTGGCGGGGCCTTTCTGGGTTCTATTCCCTTTTGTCAACAATGCAGCTAAGTTTGACCCCTCCCACCTTCTGTACCGGTGAGGGGAACCCAACCACACACCCCACCTTCCCGCTCATGTACTCCGGCGGTTTCGAATCCAGGCCTCTTTGGCAACCAGAGCGCAACCCGAGCGCCCTCTCTCGGGCCGCCTGCCACCACTCGCCGCCTCCCTACCCTGCCGGGGCCAGCCCCAGCTCGCTCGTGGGGCGTCCTCGAGCGGTGGGTTACATCCCCTCCCTCCTTCCCGGCCCCGCCCTTCCCCCCATCCGCTCCACCTCTCCCGCCCGGACCGCGCCGATCGGGGTGCGCCCGGACTGAGACGACGGCTTCGGCTGGCCCCTGTCCCCCCCTTTGCGCCGTTCCTGCTCGGGACTCTGCCCTCCTCTGAAGTGTGGCGGCACCTGGTGAGCCCTGGACGACATCTTGCACCCATTCCTCCTCCAAAATCTCTCTTTCGCCCCCGCAGATGGGCCCTCGATTGCCGTTGTCCAGAACTGTCCCCTCCCCCCAAGGGCCCCGAATCCGCGGACCCCCTCCCTAGTCTGCGCTTCCCGGGCATCGGAACGTAACTTCCTTAACTCGGGAAACCGCCGCTCGCTAATGGCTCTAGTCCCCTCTTTACCGGATCTTAACCGCCCTCGACCTTTCCTTTCTTCCTCATCCCCATTTGTTTAAAGCTCTTGATTGTGACCCGCGTCCCCTCCTCGGCGCCCGTCCCCAGCCTTGCCCCTCTCTTCAGCCCGGTCCCTGAGGCGGAGGAAGCCTTGTTCTCCGACAGAGGATCCTACAAACTCAGCTGGTAAGAGGAGTCAGTTCTCTCCTGCTCTAATGGGAAGGGAGGCGTGTGTTACTCCCATTCCCGCGCGAAAAACGCGCGGTTTTCTCCACGTCGGTTCCCTCTACGTCGCCCCTCGCCGGTGAACGAGAAGCGCAAGGGCGGACCCCTGCCAGTTTGTGGAGCGAGTTGTGGAGGAGGAGGCTGGGAGGCCGGGACTCTGGGGAAGTTTCCTTTTTCATGATTTTCTGGTCTTTGTCAAAAGGTAAGTTTAAAAATGATGTGTGTCCATTATTTTTATAACGGTTTTGAAAACTTAGTGCGCATTTAATACAATAGTAGTAATTTTACAGCTATATTACGCTTCCGTGACTCTTGACTCACTGGCTAAAGTCCAGCCATGGTCTTTCAGAAGCTCTCCCTTTTACCCAACTATATTCTTCGTAAAGGAGCGCTGGAGAGGCAGTGGTTACAGAACTTGGCCACTAAACAAAAGTTTAGCGGTTCGAACCCCATCAGCCGCTGCGCTGGAGAAAGCTTCCGCAGAGATTTACAGCCTTGGAAATCCTATGCGGCAGTTCTACTCTGTCCTATATAGGGTCGCTGTAAGTCCAAATCGACTAGATGGCAGTAGGTCTTCATTTATTCACTGTTAGATTTCTTGTCAATTGCTTGCATTTCATTTGTATTGAGGCTACTTTTATTTATTTTTAAAACCTTTTATTTTGAGATAAAATTGTAGATTCACATGCGCTGTAAGAAGTAATAGTGAGATCTGTATTCTTTAATCTAGCATCCCCCTTGGTAACATCTTGCAGAACTACAATACAATAGCATAACTGCAATATTGGCATCCATATAGTCAAATTACAGAACATTTCCATCACCATGAGAATCCCTCATGTTGCCCTTTTCTAGCCATACCCACATTTCTCCTGCGGCCATCTCCTCTTTAACTCCTGACAAATACCAATCTGTTCTCCATTTCTCTAATTTTGTCATTTCAAGAATGGTGGCATAATGGAATCATACAGTATGTAACCTTTTGAGATTGGGTGTTTTTCATTCACCATCATGTATGGCTGCCTGGCCAGCGGACCTCAGGTGCAGCCACCATTTGTCTGACTATGGAAGTTTGCATGTTGCTGTAATGCTGAACAGGGTTCATTGGAGCTTCCAGACTAAGACAAGCTAGAAAGAAAGACATGGCACTTTACTTCATGTATGGGGTTGCCATGAGTTGGGGGGCTGACTGAACAGCACCTAACAACAATAGTAATCATTGTCTGGAGATTCATTTATGTCCTTGTTTGTTACTTCTAATTGCTGAGTAGTATTTCATGGTACGGATGTACCACAGTTTGTTTGAAGAATGTTTGGGTTCTTTCCAGCGTTTGCCCATGACAAAGGAAGGAGCTATGACATTTGTATACAGATTTTTGTGTGAACATAAGTTTTCATTTCTTTGGATAAATGCCCAGGAGTGCAATTGCTGGGTTGTGTGGTAGTTGCATGTTTAGTTTTATAAGAAACTGCCAAATTGTTTTCCAGAGTTAACTCTACCATTTTACATTGCCACCAGCAATGTATGAATGATCTAATTTCTCTGCATCCTCACCAGTGTTTATTGTTATCACTATTTATTATTATTTTTTTTTAGCCATTCTGATAGCTGTGCAGTAATACCTCATTGTGGTTTTAATTTGCCTTTCCAAGCTCTGGTAGCATAGTGGTTAAGGCACTTCACTGCTAACCAGAAGGCTGGCGGTTCAAACACACCAGCCACTCCTTGGAAGAAAGATGGGGCAATCTACTTCTGTAGTGATGCTGCCTCGGAAACCCAAGGAGGGGTTGCTATGAGTTGGGTCAGACTCGACGGCACATAACAACAACAACTCATGACTACTGAGTTCTGGTGGTGTAGTGCCTAAGGCATTTGACTGCTAAACAGAAGGGTGGCAGTTCAAACCCACCAGCTACTCCTCGGAAGGAAGGTTGGGCAATCTACTTCTGTAGTGATACTGCCTCGGAAACCCAGGAGGGGTTGCTATGAGTCGGATCCGACTCTACAGCAGTACGAATGACTACTGATGTTGAATAACATTTCATGTGCTTGACATCTGTATATCATTTTCAGTGAACTATCTGTTCATGTGTTTTGTTTTCTAATTAGATTTTTTTAACTCCTGAGTTCTTTATATATTTATGATAATAGTCTTGCCAGATGTATACCTTTTCAGGGTCTCTGTAGAGCAAAAATTTTTAATTTTGATGAAGTCAATTTTATTGATTTTTCCTTTTATGGTTCATGCTTTTGGTGACATGCTAAGAATTCTAGATTCCAAAGATTTTCTATTTTTTTTTTTCCTAAAAGTTTTTTAGTTTTACATTTATATCTGATTCATTTTGAGTTAATTTTATATAAGATGTGAGACTTAGGTTCATTTTTTGGCCTATAGACGCCCAGTTGCTTCAGCACCAGTCTTTGAAAAGACTGTCCGTTGAGTTCCTTTTGCACTTTTTCTGACATTGGTTGAGCATATTTGTGTGACTTTATTTTTGGTTCCTCTGATTTATTGATGTATGTGTCTGTGTTATTCTTTCAGTACCACATAATCTTGATTAAAAACCAAAAACCAAACTCACTGCCATCCAGTCGTTTCTGGCTCATAGCAACCCCTCCTTGGGTTTCCAAGGCAGTATCTGTATGGAAGTAGATTGCCCATCCTTCCTTCTCAGGAGTGGCTGGTGAGTTTGAACCAGCAGCCTTCTGGTTAGCAGTCAAATGCCTTAGGCACTACACCACCAGCACTCCCAATCTTGATTACTCTAGCTATATAGTAAACCTTGAAATAGAAAAAATATGAAAAACTCCCCCCAAAATAGTTGCTATCAGTCATTTCTGACTTATGGTGATGTCATGTGTTTCATGGTAGAACTGCTCCGTAGGGTTTTCATAGAAGGAGCGCTGGTGGTGCGGTGCCTAAGGCATTTGACTGCTAACCAGAAGGCTGGCAGTTCAAACCCACCAGCCACTCCTCCGAAGGAAGATGGGGCAATCTACTTCTGTAGTGATGGTGCCTCAGAAACCCAAGAAGGGGTTGCTATGAGCCGGGTCCGACTCGATGGCACATAACAACAACAATGATTTTTACAGAAGCAGACTGTTAGTCTTTCTCCTGCAGAGTGGCTGGTGGGTTCCAGCCATCAACCTTTTTGGTCAGCAGCCAGCCACTTAAAACCATTTGTTGTTATGTGCCCTCTAGTCAGACCTGACTCATAGCGACCTCTCCTTGGGTTTCTGAGGCGATATCACTATGAAAGTGGATTGCCCAGCCTTCCTTCCAAAGGATGGCTGGTGGGTTTGAACTGCCAGCCTTCTGGTTAGCAGTCAAGTGCTTTAGGCACTACGCCACCAGAGCTCCCCTTAAAACCAGTAGGGCTCCTTATTGATTAAGAGGAGTGAAAGTAGATATCCTTGCCTTATTTGTGATCTTAGCATTTAACCATCATAATGTTATGTTGTTAGGTGCAGTTGACCTGTGCACAACTGAATGAAACACTGCCTGGTCCTACACCATCCTCATAGTTGTTGCTATGCCTGAGCCCATTGTTGCACTTACTGTGTCAGTCCATCTCAC